TGTGGACAATTCCTATCGCATTGACAATGGGGAATTGTGTCATTTTAAAGCCATCAGAGAAGGTCAGAAAAGGTCGAATCTGTATTGGTATTGATAATGATTATCTGATATAAACATGTATTGTATTGTTTTTTTAGGTTCCATTGACGATGACACGAGTTGCCGAGCTTTTGCATCAAGCGGGAGTACCAAAAGGCGTCTTTCAGGTGCTTTCTTAGCGTCTGAGAAGAATTGACGAGTTTTTAATCATATATTTATCAATTAAGTAGATTATAAACGGAAGTGTAGAAGCTGTCAATAGCTTGTGTGACCATCCAAAAGTTGTGGCTGTCACATTTGTCGGATCAAGTAATGTGGCACAACTTGTTGCTCGCCGATGTCGAGCCCTGGACAAGCGTGTCTTGGCGTTAGGTGGTGCAAAGAACCACCTTGTCGCACTACCAGACGCTGATATTGAAATGGCGTCAAAAGATATTGTAACCTCTTTTGCTGGATGCGCTGGACAGCGCTGCATGGCAGCGTCGGTGCTCTTACTTGTAGGGGATTGCGATGCGCTGCTTGCAAAGATTGTTGAAAAGTCCAAGGAATTGAGTCGCGGCACCGAAGCTGGTCAAGTTGGTGCGCTTATTGATGAGATCTCGAAGACACGCGTACTTAAGTACATTAATGAAGCTGAAGCTGAAGGCGTCAAAATTTTAGTTGACGGTCGATCGTGGGCTAAAGAAGCTAAAGGCTATTGGGTGGGACCTACAGTTTTGTTGCATACGACCTCGAACGGTGCTGCAATGAAAGACGAGATTTTTGGTCCCGTACTCTCCGTTTATCGCGTCAAATCATTCGAGGAGGCTTTGCAGATTGAAAATAACAATGATTATGGCAATGCTGCCGCAATTTACACGTCCAATGGCGCTTCTGCAGAATATTTTCAAACGCGTTTCCGTGCAGGTATGATTGGAATCAATATTGGGATTCCAGTCCCACGTGAACCTTTTAGCTTTGGTGGCTTGTATGGCACAAAAAGTAAATATGGAGATATGGACATCACGGGTGATGGATGCGTTGAATTCTTTTCATCTCGCCGTAAAATTACTGCGAAATGGAGCACGGGATCATATGTAAGAGATGATGCCAATTTCAGCGGACAAATGTGAATGACCGATCAGGTAGGTAAGAAAGTCATTACTTACTTACTGCATGGATCGAGTACTTTTCGATTGTTGCGTTTTGGAATTGAAAATTAGTTTTCACTCAAATCAAATTCACTGTGTGAAATAGTTCTTTCGACTCAAACGGATTCTTTCAAACACGGCAACTTTACTCATTATATATCCAATATACATCTATCCTATGACGGATCATCATACGCGTTGACATCATACATGTTGATTTTCTAAGCCACATATTAAATGTTGTGTCAAATAGGTCGTGTCATGACAAGCAATATTCAAGAGACGCTTATTTGTACGTGCTGTTCCTAAACGACTTTCCTACATGTGATAGCGCTTGCGCTGACAAAAAGTTGTAGAAATTTGCTCACCATAATTATTTCATTTATACTCGTTTCTGAAAGATTGTTGATATTTATCTTATCACTTTCTTTTGATGACCAAGTTGTCGACAACTTGTGCTTGTTGGCAAACCTTATACAAATGTACATAGTTTTCGATCACAATCTTAAAATACCGCAAGGTAGCAGGACGTTGTCTTTATATATTTATCAAATTTACTTTTCACAGCGCTTTGATGCACCACAGCTCCTTATCTTTTTTGGGTGTGAGAATCCTTCAAATGCTCGGCGCTATTACATTGATCATATTTAGTGAAGTTAGTCAAAGGTACGAAGTTGGTTACGGATGCCAAGAGCGAGTTGGCAGTCCTTCCTTTCAAATGCTATATACATGGTTGCCGTAACGTTTGAGTTACACGATTTATTTGATGTAATACTGTGTCTTCGAAATTGTCAAAAGCGCTATCTCTTTCTGTAAATATTGAACAAGACAGCAAGGTCATATCTATCTACATGCGCTTAGTTACAATCGTATAATCTAATTGCTCATGCAGCAGACAACAATCTAATTGAAGCGTTGACTGGACGTAATCTCATGGTGTATATCGCGAGAAGAATGCTGAGTATCGGATGGTACCTAAATGGGAGTATGATAGGATCCTTTTATGTGTTCATTTTCCACGGAGACATTTCTCTTGATTTCAGTATGAAGGAATCTGCATTTTGGCATTAGGGGATCAGGTCAATATCGCTGATAATAATAAAGCGGCTACGATTGCTGAGCATCTGTTGCCTCCTTCAATTTATCAGCAAATGAAGTTTTCTTCTATCGATGTACAAAGGCTTCCCTTTGACGCTCTTGATTTAAAAAAGAAAGTCATCGCTGTTGACACTTATTACGTAGCACTCATAAAATAGGCTTCTCGAAATGGAGCTAATATTTTAACAACACCATTACACACTAGAAGCTACACACTTGTGTTACGAAGATCCTGAATCTTAAAAGGTATTTTAATGCTTACTGCATGCTGTAACAGCTCTTCTTGTTATAGAAATGTTTACAACTCGCATAAGATAAAAAAACAAATGCGATCAGGTTTTGGGCCATCAGAAAGTGCAATGTGCCCATTTTCCAAAAAGATTGTAATCATACCTTATTAATGCTTAACAAAGTTAATCAGCCTCGAAATCATGTAGTGCTAATATAAATTCAGTGATTGACGCATTTCTGGAGAACCTTATGGGTATAGAGAAGTGATAAGAGAAGAAGCAAAACGTATAATTTGACCGTCACCAATGATCTCGCGATACGCGCACATCTTTGAACATCCATCGTGATGTAGCACACCCTAAAAGCTTCGCTGGCTCTTTCGGAAGATACGGCCGCATTGAACTGTGCCCAAACTTGCGTCTCGATCTTCTTTGTGTTTGTTGGGTGTGGGAGTCCAGATATTTGCAGATGTTACTATATGCTAAATTAAAAACAGGGGGTACAAGAGATAACATTCCATTTGAGGAGAAAATGTAACTTTTCATGAAAGACGGTCAGTACCTCAAACATCTGATTCAAATTTTCACCTCAAATGTTCTCATTTTGCATTTTTTGAGACGTCCTAAGAATCGTGCAACTAACTTCCATGCGTGCCCCTAGCGTTTATATGCTATTGACCACGACGGCACTACTAGTGACTCGCTGTACTTCTTCACCACCACAGCCATTGATTACGCCGTCCGATGAGGAGCTCAAGCCTACCACGAAGAGAAATGCGACAGAGATCATTGTGCGAGCTCCTTCTGCCAAAAGTTACGAAAACTCAATTGAGTCACGAAGTGGTAAAACACCACTCCTTGGTGGTATTGGACATAGTACGCAGCTTCAAATGGAGGCAACGCAAGCTATGAAGAGGTTTTCACAGATGCTGCATACGAAGTTCCTACAAGACAGTCAACACTTAGTACGGGATGGAAAAATGGAGATTTTGTCGGCTTCAACTGCTTCGCACGACCAGCTTTTGTCGAAGCAGGCAGCTAATGACGTGTTAAAGTTTGTAAAAAAACACAATAAGAACTTAAAGGGCAAAAATATCATAAATCTAGCTGCAGTGTTGGATTGTCTCGATAAACTCGACATTTTGCGCTTGGTGAATTTGATAAACAACCACAATCGACCATTAATCTCCGCAGAGAAGATGAATTTGGTTGCATTACTAAAATGTGCTTACGGCGATGTAAATTTTCAAGAGTTATTCCGACAAATTATGCTTGAGACCGAAAAGAGCAGTCCATATCAGAACGAGTTGAAGGTCGTTGTGTCTCAACTAGTCGCGGATTCCCATCAGTCGGCAATTAGTGAACAGATGGAGCTTCTTAGACGTGACGAGAATAAGCCGCAAGAACTATCGCTGACCGAGGCATTGGCTTCGTTTTCATTACACAAAATACAAGAGCAAGTTACTAAATGGAAAAATCAGGGCGACCTCGCAAACGACATGGTCGAAAAGCTGTCAAATAAACCTCAAGAAGAAGCAATTCGAGATGGTTCGCTACTTAAGGCTTTCTTTGCGTATTTCAACTTGTGGAACGTCAAGTTATTTCCTAAGCAATTGAATTTTTTTAAGTCCTTGCAGACTCAGTTCGATGACTTTGTTGCAGCCAGGTTGATCATCTCAGGCAAATATGGTAGCGATACCAATTTGGCAAGTATTTGCGCGACTTTGGAGAACATGCATGCCAGTGACATGGCGGAAAGGCAACTGACACCAGACAAAACCTTGGAAATATTCGAGTTAGACAACCAAGATAGTTTTCCTTTAGAAATACTAGCGTACTGGAGTCGTTCTGTGGAGTATTTTCAGCAAAAGTTCACGGCAGGGCCAGCGTATTCTTTCTTGGCTCAACAGTACACAGACCAATTCAAGCTTGCAAAGATGCTTGATGCGTACTCGGCTACTTATGAAATTGAACAGACCTTGGTGAGACTCCGAAAGGATCAAGCTAAGATTTGGTGTGACAATGGTGAGAATAAAAAGAGTATTTATAGGTTGTTGCACTTCAACATCAAGCATCCGGATTTGTTTGAACTGCCGATAAAGTCGTGGCTAGCGTTTTTGGAGGAATCTAGTCACCGTCAACCAAATTACATATATTCTTTGCTCCGATCTCTCAAGAAAGACTATACTGAAAAGGAGCTGGCTAAGTTCATCACAAATGGAATAAAAGATTCAGAAACAAGGACAGTCATAGTCGCGACGATACTGAAAGACGAACTACTTCGACTTTGGTTTAATGACTTGAAGACACCGGATAAGATCGCTGAAGATTTCGGTGAATATGCGTTGCTGTGTGATCACTACAAAATGTTTCACCGCAGAGTGGGTCATGATGAAACAATAGCTATTGGTAGGTTATGGCCTTCCGCTTCATCGTTCATCAATCGTTTTAATCTTTCTAAACTGGATCTGGAAACTTACATGAAGGACGGCTCGCTGCTTCGATTTTATGCCGAGTTCGTAAACGAAGTTAACGAGAGCATCCGTGTAGAACCATTGGATTTATTTGCGCTACTCTTCGCTCGCTATGGTCGGTCTAGCGTGGCCGATATTCTTAGCGGTAGCGAAATGACTTTACGCACGAGTGAGGAGACACTTGGTCGCACCATCACACGCGCTCAGAACAGGCAAATCAGATTTTGGATTGAGAAGGAGACGAATCCGAGCGATGTAGTTAAAGAGATCAAACTCAACGACGAAAAGGAGTTCACCCCCTCGAGACTGAAGTTTTTGCTGATGTATGTAGATATGAACAATAACATGTATGGCCGAAACTCAGTCACGCCATACTCCCTCTTGAAGATGTATCACCACCCACTCACTCTCGAACGTCTGTTTTCTGGGCTACCAGAAAGCACAGAGTTGAAAGAACTTGGAAAGCAGATTGAAGAAGGTGTGGTATATCACTTCGAACACCCGAATGTGTCACCAAATGAATTGTTTCTACAGTTACCCTCCAACTTCAAAGTAAAGAAAGTGCTTGACCAGACAACAAAGTTGTGGGTGGAGAGTGGGAAAAAGTACCTTAGCACTCACCCCGGCGCCACATTTGAGCCGATCAGGACATTGAACACAGTGCACAATTACGATACTTTGATCGACATGATTGCCATGGCAGCGAAGGACGAAAATCTGAAGAGCGTTGCTTTGTTTCTAAAGCGGGATCTGTGGTCGAAGTGGGCAAACGATGGGCAGCGAAAGAACTCACCTTACAAATTTACTTCAAAGAACGCTGATACCATGGTAGAGGAGTATGAAAAATGGTTAAACGAGATCAAATTGTCTATGAAAGACAATTTTCCTGTCCACGTTTCCTGGGAATTCAATAACGAATTTGCAAGGGGTGAACTTTCCGACATCGCGTTGGCTAACAACGTTATATTTTCTAATATTGTCACCAAGATTGACGCTCTCAACAAAGATCATCTTGGAGAGCCGTTAAACTTATTTGCGATATTAAAGTTGCACTTTAACCGCAGGTCTATATTCAGACTGGCTCATCCGCCCAACACGAAGAATGTGAGAAAAAATGTGAGAGATGCAACAATGCAACTCAAGACAGATCAGATGAAATTTTGGCTTAATGTTGGTGTGGATCCGGCTGAGCTTCTCGTTGATTTGGCCCTTAGTCTTGACACGAAGGAACCTGCTACTTTAGTTCGTTTCAGAACGTTTGTGGAGTTTTCGATCGAATATCATACAAAAATCAAACCTGCGACCAGCACGATGGGGATTTTAAGAGATCGTTACGGCGATACCCTTACTAATTTTTTGAGTCAAGCAACCCAATCGAGCAAACCAACATGGATATGGAAAGACGCCTCCGGCACAAAGATAGATGTTTTTCGCATTGTCTCGGACGAAAACAAACAATCTCTGCATTATGCTTGGATGAAGTACATATTTGTAAGGATCATGGATAGCTCACTGCAAGAATTGGAGGTTGACAGCAACATCATTGGCAAAATGAGAATTAAACTTTCGGATGAAGTACTCGTCTGGTTGATAAAAATTATATATCAGCAATCTCATAGTACAGCAGAGAAGACTGAAATTGCTTTGGTCAAAGCATGGTGCGATGCTAAATTTGACGAAAGCACAGTCAAAGTTTTAATGAACGGACCCTACGATCCTTTTCAATGGACTGAGTTTAAGCTGTTCGATGAATTTAAAAAAGCTAAGGTCGCGGAGATGAACATTAAGAAGTAGAAGGATCGTGTGTTTCGTAAGCTAATCTCGCACATCAAGAACTGCCATTGCATTAATATCTACGACTTTTCTGTCTCTGTGATGATACGATCATAGTCTGTCGATTTTGATTGCCTCACAACGGTCCATCCTTGTTACATGACAGGTCAGAAAGATGATATAGGTAAGACTCATCGTCCTATGCAGAGAGATGCAAACGATCGAAAGAAGTGAAGAATTATTAATTTATATAGTCCAAGGAAGTCGTTCATGTATGGACTCTCGACCGTGTTACATCTCGATTTGACAGAACCAAGAGTAAGTTATGTTTGTCTTTTTCTTGGTAGGAGCTGTGCGGCTATTGAACGTGTCTGCATCATAATAAAAAAATTGCAGGACACAACACGTTAGATAGGTAATTGGGTGTTAGCATAGATATACGAGCATAGCCTTGGAAGCATTCGTTATCAGATTTATTGTGCATTTGATGGTAAAATTCAAAGTGAGAAGTTGATGATGTTTCTGAACGCCGTGTCATTCCGTATTGAATGTGTGAAGGCTCCTCTCCTTAAGCACTAGCTTCAATTTCTGTACGTTCAAATGCTGAACTTACGTATGTAAAGTAGATATACAGCTGCAATATTTTTTCTACAACAATTTTGAGCGG